CCCGATTTCTGAACGGGGATGGCCCAGACTGAGTGCAGTGCTGCTTGTTACCCTTTTGGATCTTATAGTTTGTATGCGTCTGCTATGCCATGATTCAGGAAGCCAGGGCCCTTGCGGCCTGGTGTGAGCTGGCAGTCCTCTGGCACCTGGTTCCCTGTTGGTATATGCGCTTGCTTTTCCGTTGGGTATACAGATCATGTGCATGTCTGCCCAGTCATTCACCTCTTTCTGACCCGTTTGTTTTGCTGTTGGTTAAAATCCTGACCAAGTGTTGGTTATTTGTGACCAGGGGGTGTGGTGGTAAGACAAGGTGCAGGTCCGGCCACGCCGGCCATCTGCGCCCTCTCCCACCTCCGGTCTTGTTGACTGTGTCTTGAGACTGGAATCAGGCGGAAAGGAGAGATGTTGCGGTAGATGCTGCATAGGTCTACACTCACTAGAAACTAACTCACGTGCAAGTCATCGTGCCTGTCCCGCCTTACCTATAGCAAACGGTGGGGATTGTCCGGCACAACGGCCATACTCCCATATTACGCGCCGCTTCGCGTCTGCTGGTGGGTTTAGAGAGAGCTCAGATGCACAATGGGACGAGCGCGCTCAGTAACGCGGCTGGCGAGAGTCCCTCAACTGTTTTATATGTGTATATATTAATAACTGGCGGTAAAAGAAAAGATTATTTGCGTCAAAGATGTGATTCGCCTGGATGGAATGGTGCCATCGACATGCCAGCCAATGAGTCAGTCTTGGATAGCAGCAACGTGATGAACGGCAGGGAATTGCCGTTGAAGCTTCCGATGTAACGGGCCAGGTACAAACATTGCTGTGCGTTTTGTTGGAAGGTGGTCGCCATTTACGAGGAAAGAGGTATCGGATCTCTCCACCGACACGCTGTTTTACAATCCTTATCCGTGATCCGGGCCAGAAGTATTCACATCATTTGAGCAACTCAGGCCTGTTCTTGAGGCGTTACAGACAAAGCTGTCAAATGCATCTCGATTATGACCGCACAAAGCCTTCTAGCTTCAATTGAAATTGAAATTGAAATAGAATTGAAATACACAATGCCAACAGGTAGTAGCAATATACGCGCAAATCAAAGGACTATTCCTTGTACTTAAATCTAATCCTGAAGGATTTGAGGTCTAGTTGGCTGCTCTCAAAAGGCAACCGGACAGAAATCTAAAAACGTAAATGCGTTGACCACGGGTGGTTCATGGATAGAAGTTGTCCTTGGGGTTGGTGCTCATGTTTACTGTTAGGTGTTCACCTTTGGGTTAGATTAAGGGTGTGCGATCAACATTTAGTGGAGGATTATGATTGGCAAGAGCTATGCTTATGTTTTACTTTTAGTGCTGACGTTAAGAATAGCATTATAGTTAGGGTTATTTTATGTGTCTGAGCACAACGGTTCTGGTCAAGGATTTGAACATGTTGCATAGTTTCGTGTTACCGACTTGGAGTATGGTTACCGTTGTCGGCAAACTTAACACTGGGTCTTACCGGAAGGTAAGTTGGAGTCAGGGATAGTAGATAATAGTGATAGGTAGATAGTTGGGATTATTGGTCACGGTTAGGCAGTAGAGCTGGGTTTGAAATATAGTGTAATTCTTAATGCCAGGAATTGCTGTTTAACCGCGCCAACCTGACCGTTGACTTCTATTATGGTGACATTGTTATCTCATATTTTCCTGTAAGTGTGTGTCAGTGTTACGTCCGTTGCGTTTCTCTTTGGTTCCGTGGATTGACCTACCCATCCACGGTTCTGCTTCCAGAATCCAGAGACCTTTAAGTTTATCTACCTTTGCTGACTGATTGTCCTATTGACGACCCACTACACCTTCTCAACCTATTCCAACCATGGTGTCCATAAGTGGATTTCGAAAAATTCCTCCGCTCTACCCGACTGAGTACTTTCAATTCTTGCAAACAGTAGCACCTTCATCCCACTTGATGGAAATCTTGTTCAGAAAACTCTCTATTAGAATCGCTGGCGATGCGTTTGACACAGCACTTTTCGGAGTTCTGAATAAACTAGTGCTGAGTGTGTCGTCCGGTCCAAAATATGTCATTTATCCCTGATTGATTGAGGTATCACAGGCTTCGGGTGGGCAAGTAACTAATGCCTTGAGCAATTGTTCACCATTCCTTGCAGCTGACTTCAGTGTGCCTTACTGACACTGGTATGGCTGGTTATCGTATGATTGATGAAGTGTCTGGTCTGGTTTGCCATGAAATAAGGAGTACATTTCCACACTTATTTTCATTCGCAATCGAGAATTTCATTATTCTGGCAGTTTACAGTGACGGCAGGAGATTTTAAGCTGATTTAAATGTATTGTGGGCCTGGCTGCGCAAAACTATGGTACCCAGTGCAGCGTAGGAAATTACTGGAGTGTGCAGAAAAAAGCACATTTTCTTCCTTCATTCTTTACGCACTTGTCAGCTTAGCAAAACGTTTATGTACATCCCAGAGGCTTAACGACCGTTGACATTTAAATTCATTTCAAGCTTCCTACTAGTGCTCGAGTTGATTAATGTTCGAAACACTAACTAATGTACGATTATGCAGTTGTCTGTGAAATGAAAAAATTGAATCCCATCGGTTACTGTAAAGATTAAACTTTTTGCTTACGATTGGTTGGGCTTTCTTTCCTTGGACTTTTACATGAATTCCCGGTAACTGAAATAAATATCCAGTCCAAAGACAAACTCTACAACGGACAACACAACGAACCCGTAGCTCAGTGGCGTTGGACTTCAAACTAACAGGTCGCAGGGTACAGCCCCAGGTGTTTCACAATTTGGATTGGGTATGACTGACTGGCGACGGCTAATAAGCCAGAAATGGCCATTCCAGCTTCCCTTGTCTTTGTCAGTTATACCAAAGTCTAAAAAATCGACTAAATTAACGGAATATGACTACAGTGAATGTAGGACCTAGCAATATCCTGCAGCACGATATTGAACTTGGTATTAACCGTCGCTTCTTTATCTCTTAAATTAAGTGAAAAAGCGGTAGACAATCGTATTTTATTTAGAATTTTTTGCCAGTGTTCAATTATTTCCCTCATATGCTGTTTTGGACAGATCATGTTTGTATTTATTGTGAACATAATAAAATTTATTTGAATTCGTCGACTACCGTTTTTAATCATTAGACTTATTTTAGCAGCAGTGGACGTCAAGGGTAGCACACACCGGAGTAAGGAAAACGCCGAGAAGAGATCCTGGCAGAGGCAGCCCTGAACAGAACTGCTAACATCTCTCGAAACTCGTCCACACGCAGAAGAAGAGAGTCTGTCGAGCATGGATATAGTGTAATGGAACAACATGATATGGAGAATGTATATAACAAGTGTTAGTGTACATGTGCAACGAGGAACAGCGAATAAGTGACCTGTCTGGATGGATAGACGACCCTGAGATAATAGCTAAACAGCCGGTGGGGATGCAGCGCTGTGGGCGACTGCAAGGAAAAGCCGAGGGAGAGCCGACGTTGAGTGAGAGAGCGAGAGAGAGTCGAGAGCGGCGGTTCTTTGCGGGAGAAGGGGTCGGCGGTAGCGAGAGGAAGGGACACCGGCCGTCTTCGTCAGCACGCAGTTACGCCTTCTCCATCCCCGGTCCACTCACCAAAAGTGCTCACACATTCAAACAATTCTGTTCGCGCCGAGGGGCCTTACACCATTGCATAAAGTCCTCTTTTTGCGGTTTGTGGATAGTCGTTAACTGACGCTCTTCTAATAATCCCAATCCCCCCAAGTTTTCTTTTATGCGTGTCTGTGCCTGCGTAAAGTAGGTCACGCTTGAATGTCAGTAAAGAAATACAACTTGATATTTAAGAATGCGGAGGATTCTGTGATAAAAAGAGGTTTGGAATCCCCGACCCACACCCAATCCTCAAAATCTGTTTTACTACTTCAAAACGACTTTACCTGGCCAGAGTTTTCATGCTGCTCCCTCAAAAGGCGTGTTTGCTTCGTTCACGTTTTCAATTTCGACATGTCTCTAAGTCCCTTGATAATGAGAAATTGTTGCAGTAAATACCGTATTTAGATCAATTGCCATTTTCAGTTCTGCCGTTTACTTGAAGTCGTCGGAAGGCCCACAGGAAGTGCAGGATATTTCACCACGTTTGTTATTATCAGAAATAAACGCAATCCCCGCTGTCCGGCTCTTTCCATCGCAGAAAAAACTTATATCCAAATTCAAATCCTTCTTGGTGCACAATTTTTGTTCCGAACCAGTTGAGACTACGCACACCAACTACAAGGAACTTAACGAAATCCTCGCGAAGGTTTATTTGAAAAACACGTCCTTGGCGGCTTACGTCGATGCATGTTTGCAGACAGCTGAGGTGTGAACCTTCGTATTTCTATTGCAAATGCTTAAGGGGCATTTTATAAAGTCACGCATACGTATAATCAACTGTATTTATCATTTTTTTCTTTGGGACGTAAATGTTCCCTAGTAGCAATTCCATAGCGAGGTGACGGCGCCTCGCTGTGGAAAAGTCGCGATACAATGACCGATTTATAGCGGATTTTGTCCATGTGGTCGCTATGGAAACAATGGCGAAAAGTCGCGATACGGCATTATGCAGCTGCGGGACGGCATTCCTTAGCGACCTTTCCGTTTTAACACCAACGAAAGCTCTTTTTCCCACCTCCCATCCTATTTAGTACTTAAAGAACTACGGAACCCCCCTTCCCCCCAAGAAAGTTGAAGGAAGGCGTTGTGTCATGATAGAGGTAATGATTTATTATAAAAATAAAAAATACAATTATTCTGGTCGCTAATCCTCTCGCGGCCGGGACGACGAGGGTTCTGTTGAGGGTTCTAAACCAAGTATGTGTAATAATACTTCAGTTTCACTTACCGTCAGAGTCATCGAGAATGGAATCTGGCCGGGATCGCCTTTTCCGAAGGGCGTCGAGTGATCTCTTCAGCCTTCTAGTGAAGGCGGCCTCAAGTTCATAAACATCCACTCTCCCTCCCTTGTTCTATGCAGCATAAACGTCTGTTTTCCATGCAGAGTTACATGTAAGCAAGGGCCTACCCTTTATCACCTCGTAAACCTGTGACCCGCACAGGCCCTCCTTGGTTTTTTTCCCACGGAAATTCACGTGCATGCACGCCTCGTCATCAAACAGGGCATAAAATACCCTTTTAACGAAATCATCGGTGTTGCGCCCACCGAGGCATACGAGGAAGTGCGTCTACGAATGTCATAAAATTCGCTTAGCCTTACCAGCTGCGACTTAACCTGGGGGTCGTGCAGTCTGCTATTGACCTCCTGGAAGTCGGACTTTGTACAGATGGGCCGCCTTAGAGGATTGGTTGGGAAGGCGGCCTCCGGGCTTCCAGGGGCTGGTTGTCGAGGAATGTCGTTTAGCTGCATTGTATGTTGATTTTCGAGTATTTTCATGATGCCCTTTATGACCCAGGCAAGTTGTTTACGCAATAATGCGATGTCCTTGCCCTGTCTTCTTATGTCTGCCTGCATGTCAGAAATAACTGCCCGGCAGGACGGGTCATGGCATACTACAACGAAAATTAGTTTGATGTAGCATTACCTGTGTCTTTCCGTTCTCTTCTTGCTGGCAAGGTGTCTACTGATTCTTTGTCGGATTCTCTTTCATCCTAAATAGAAACCGTTGTAAGTATATTGTTAGTTACTACCGGTGACAGCGGCGGCTCGCCAAGTTCCCAGTATCGCTCGTCTAGAGGATTGCGTCGTCGTCTTGTTGACTTTCGTCTAGCAGTCTCCTCGTCACTGGAAGACGTAGCCATGGATGTCTACAACCACACAGGAAAAAATAGTAGTTAGTAGCTTCATCTCTAACTACGACCACTACATCCCTTGTTGCTCGTTAACCACTAACTAGGTACTGTGTGGTTGTAGGGTTAACGAGCATTGTCCATGGATAGGACGGGATTGATAGTGGCAAAGGATGGCTGTTCATATCCTAATATCTTCATTAATAGGTACGAGTTATCTAGAGGAAAGCACACGTACTTAGAGAAGGTCATGGGAAAGTGTGCACAGTCGGCTGTGTACACCTGTATGGACAATTGAAATTGACATATTCTGCCTGGCGCCCTTCTTCATAGAATAGTAATTTAAGTTTGAACCTCTTGATGGACATTTGCTATGCTTAAGTTTTTTCGCAAACTCATTCATAACCTGTTTTGGTAAACATCCATTTTCTTCGTATTGATTTTCTACAGTTTTTAAGCTTTTGACCTTACAGGTAAATCAAGCCCTTAAATCGTTGAATTCAAGGCGCCAAGAGAGCCGCTCGGTAGAAAATTTAACCAAAGGGACGCTTGTAGAGGACGACATAATATTTGAGTTACTGTGTCGTCACTTTGCATTGAAGGTAACTGCTCATTGCTTTTAACGGACATTCACATGAGTAGGCTTAGATACGGACCTTGCTTCTCTGCATCGTTTTTAAAAACCCTCCACAAAACGTAATTACGTCTTTTCATACCCTAGCATTATCAACAGTTACAACTGTAACATCCCCTCCTGCCGTCCTTCGTTATCTCTGCTAATGAAAAAGTGTTAAATGTTCAGCCAAAAATTAGATTTATTATATTATAACATTGATTTGTAGCGCTGGCGTGTTGCTGCTGTCCACGAAAGTTGCATAACCGAAGTGTAGTGCCTGTCAGACGTCCGATAGCCACGGGGCTTGATAAACTTGGCTTTGCCCTCCTATTCTGAATCGATTGCCTCAGATACAATCGAGTTGTCCTTACACGAATGCTGGACAGGACGATAGTGCTTTCATGTCATCCGAAACGGCGGTTTTTCGCAAGCTTTCTTGCGATATCCCCAAGTTATAAAGACGGATCTTAATATACTAAAACCTCGGTTTTTCAACCGACCTCAATCGCCTAAAGGCAACATGCCCAGAAACAGGGCGAGTCTCTACGAATAAAAATAATTCTATTTATGGATTCGGCGGGACTTAACTTTTCTCAAGTCGGAGAATCCTGTGCATTTGAAGGGCACTTTGCAGTACACCGGTAGTTGTTGAATTAATTGGTTGGGAGGACTGCTTTACCTTTGGCAATTGACACCGATAGTAATGGGTTTCCACGAAAGTTGCTTAGACATAATCTCCTCTTTTTCGTAATTTACGTAGTACATCCAAGGAAGCTATAAAACTTTTAATTCACACTGACCCAACTGTGAAAAACTCGGCGCCTCGGTGGGATTCGAACCCACGCAGTAAGGGGAAGAATTTAGTACAGCCAACGCTCTAAGCACTTGAGCTACTAGACCCCGCCGGACGACGCGTGAGCCTGGTAGTCATCTGGCGGAATCTAGGTGAATTACTTAGGAAATCCTGCCGGCGCAGTCAAATTACTGTATCAGATTTGGTGGATTCCAGACGTTCCAGTAGGTTTGACGGGTAAATTTGACCCAAATATGATTAAATTCGCGTCGTCCGGTGGGGCCTCGTAATTCAAGTGGTTAGACCGTTGGCTGTACTAAAGCCGTCCCCCTACTGCGTGGGTTCGAATCCCACCGAGGCGTCGACTTTTTCACAGTTGGGTTAATATAAACTATTCAAACTCTGCCAAAACATCTAAGAAAACTTTTTAGATAAGGAGCAACAAAGTAGAGCTCTGCAAATGGCCGGATTGATAAAAGCTTCATACTTTATTTAGATGACGACCGCGGATTTCTTACTAGTGACTTCCTTGTCCAGTCCTTACGCTTTGGCGCGAGGATTATGTCGACGCATAGCTGATTTACGTGCCGCTGTTGTTATCATGTTGCTCAGGTCTGATTCGATGATACTCTGCATGATCTCTGTCCACTTGTGACTCTCAGTGATGACGTATCTAGGGAGCCCGATCCACTACTTACTCATCGAAAATGACGAAATTTCTCAGGTCCAAGAACGAGCCTCATACCAACTGACCATTTCATTGTCTCAGATTCGGCGGCTCCCTCATGTTTAAACCAGCAGCACTGAACTTATTGCGGGCGACAGATAATCTGCACAAGCCACCTTAACCGTATTCTCTGAGTATCATCATGAATTTGCCACAATACGTCCGCAATTTCCTCTTTAAGACAATTTATAATGCTTCCCTCGAAGAACCACCTTCGGACGAAGATGGTTAAAAGTTAAATTTTCATCTATTACCCATGCGCACGCTTCGGCACCTACAACCATAAAGTAGCATTTAACGGGCGGATGCTTGGTAAACCTGGATCTTTATCGCGACTAGTCCATGGACACTTAGGGCTTTTGAAAATCGCGTTTTGTAAAAGTTATTGGGATGATATTTAAAGCTGTTCATTATTCCAAGCTGATGGCCGTTCATTGTCTGGGACACCTATGACACTGATTTCGATACTACTCTAATTTTCCCAACTTCTTCGTCTTAACGACCTTGCTGACTAGAGGCTGTAAACCGTCATAATTTGATGCCAGCCGGTCGACACGGTTAACATATTCGAGATCAGTCTGTCAGCACCTCAGCGCGGGTTCTTTACTGTCCATACTGCATACAATACTCTCGAGAATCAATCAGGTAGTTGGAAGAATGCACACAGGCTAAGTGCATAGTCGAATTTCGAATAGCTCAGCCCAAAGCTTGTGTTTTCCTCATCTACCTGTTTTTTCCTAACATTCATCAACCCGCGAAAATTTTCGCCCGAGAAACCTTTTTATGCGGTCGAAGCTTTTGATTGTATCCCTCGTGTGCTACTTTACGAGCCTTCAGACCTTACATTTCTCTTGTATCAAATGGTTATTTCCTCCCTAGAGCGATTGGTTATCAATTGAAAAAGTGCTCTTGTGGATTAAAGATGACGGTCTCACACCCTCGTTCAACACACTCCTTGCTTCCCTGGAGTGCCTTGGAGCTCTCCTTCAAGGAACTCGTCAGCCAAAAAAAATCCACCACGCTGGCGATCAGCTGTTGCAGCCGTATTTGGAAGGAAAAATCACTGAGGTACTTTCATTGGCGGAAGACAATGTGAGTTTTAGATTTGTTCACATGCGTAATCGCCAAATTCTTGAATCATTTGCCCCATGATCATTTCAGGAACTTTTTCGGACATTCAATTTAACCAGTATAATATGCGAACGGAAGTTATCTTGAAATACCAGTCGTTTGGTAGTCGAAAGTCATTTTAGATATCTGACTATAGCCATTAATGCGGACAGGCTCCGTTCCTAAGCAGCTAGTATTTCTTTAATGCAGACAATAGAAATGGGAGGGGGCTCGCACAGTTAGGAGAACTCCTGTCTGACAGGGCTGAACCTCTCGCGTCGACTGCCTTGCCTTTAAGCTCCTTAAATGCGCTAACAATAACTGTCGCCTATTTATCACGTATTGCCATTCACTGAGTCCGCTTTTGTTTACCATTATTTAAACAACTGGCATCATTTAACTCTGCTTTCACATGATCTTCAGGATATCAACCTCTACGAAGGCTTACTGTCTTATCCACGGATGAAGAACTCTCTAAAAAACATCATCACGGCGTTACTTTACGTCCGCCCAGGTCGATACCCACGGTTGTCGTTCTTCCAGTCCAAACCCTCGACAATTATTGACGCGCAATCTCAGGTGATAACTGATCGCGTCTCTTCTACGCTGAGAAATTCTATGGTGAGGGTTTGTTTGAATATTTTGCCAATGCATATTTCTTCACGGGTTTCCGTATTTTGAACGTTAAATCCCCTCGTCCTCCTACCAGCATTACCATCGGACTGCGGCCCAAGTCTTTACAGTCACCGTTTTCTTGTTAAAGAAACTAAGCTGGCTAAAGCCTACTGTCTAAAAAGCGCCTCGATACAATTACACATACAAGCGACCTTTTTCATGAATCCTCTCCGTCTTACGTCTGTCATTCTTCCGACGCTAGGATATTTCCCAGCAGATTTAAAAGTCAAAATTCAGGCATTTAAATCGCAAGACAGCGTGAAATACCGCTTTGCCACTGGAGCGTAATATGCGTTTTACCTACTTTTTGAGCACTTATACGTACAAAAATCCTTTAATTTAGTTCTACCTGATGACCTTCCTCTATCACTGTCGCACGAACCCATGCGGATCTAACCTCCGACCTTCCCCTTAGTCACCAACGTGTCGCAGCCACGCCCATCGAGCATACGAATCTGTCAATGTTCTCATTCTCCCGAGTCACAGTTTTGCAGTCTGAACAACGTTTCTGTTGTGATCACTAAGCAAACTTTTTGTAGGCAAAGGCCTCATGCACAGACGTTTGGCGTGGGCTAATTTCACCAGTTACCGCTTGCAACAGGTATTCTGCATGACTTGTTTTGTTAACAAGCAGAAAATTCGCAGATCAATTGGAACCGAATTCGACGAGTATTTTGTCCAACACTGTTTTACAGAAATTGTTTTCTGACACATAAAGTGCCTATTTTCCCAAACCAGCCCAACAGACATCCTGGTTGTGTTGTTGTTAAATCAGGTTTGGGCAACTTCGTATTCAAATATTTTGATTCTTTGTTGTGTCGGTATGGCTTGACCGCGCAGGCCAGGAACTGCAGCCTTTACAAAAATTAACGCAGCAAGGGAAAGGATGTTCATTGTTGAGTGGCACTTTCTTTTTAGATTAACAAACTGCAGGGGACTCGAGCAATAGCCGGTTGAAAGCGAGCATCCCAATGTGAATGGGAACATGCCTGGTGCATACACGTATTGCTCTGCTGTGCCAGTGTTTTAACAGACAACTGCAGGCAGTAGCATCGCACCCTTTCGTTTTCAGGGGCGTCATTTGTGGCTAA